GTGTTGCTAGAGGAGGAGTACAGAGAAAAGTGCCTGGTTCCCACAGTGGCATTCAGTGGTAGTAAAGCTCTTCTATAGGGATGTATGAGTGCTGAAGGTATGAGGGAGTTGTACTTTATCAACACTGGCATTAATTCACACACCACTGTGTGATGTAATACAAAAACCTGAAACTGAAGATGCTACCCTCTTCTCATTCCCTGCATTTTTTTAACATGACAATGAAGATATTCATTCTCCTGAGTGAAAAGTCCTTCAGTGGACATGTATTTCACTCAATCTTAACACTCTTGAGCTGCTGTGAGAGATTCTGTAGAGACGAGCTGAGCAACACTCCCCATTAAAGACCAGGGCATTTAAGGAGGTCGTCCTCCAGTTAAACAGCACAGATAAGAAAATTTGTCATGAACTTGTACACTCAGTGCCAAGAAGTGTCAGAGCAGTTTACTTAGAGTTATGGAGGACATATTAAGTTCTAGAATATTACACTTGGTTGAATTAAATCTAGGTTGTACTCAATTCTGCAATCCTTCATTTAAACAAAATTTGTCTAAGTTTTTTATTTTACAGATATTAATGGAATGTATTTCTCTGATTTATTAAGAATATGTTTAATACATTTAAATTTTGCCATCTTTCTATGAAATATATTAGTGATCATTAAGAAAATACATCTTTTATATTTAATCAGAGGGGGTGTACTCATTTATGCTGTGCACTGCATAGCAGGAGTGACCGCTTTCCTTTGAAACAGATATGGAAGGTCAGCATCTTTTCCATAAACTATTTCAGTTTATTTTGTTGCGTGTCATAGACATTTATGATAAAGGTATTCAGAATGTTGTAATGAGTGAATCTCACGAAATCTGTCCAGAGCATTTCCAGGTCATATTTCAATCTAAAATAAAAAATACGAAAACAAAAATACAAAATACATTTATTTTGCGAAAAAGAAGCATGGTATAGGATCATCAAGATTTGCGTTATGACAGTTAAGTGTATTTCCCCCTTCAGTTTTCATTTTGTTATACATTTTTCTTTATTTTGATGTAAAATGTGATCTAGACATGTTTTTATGAAATTCAGTCTAATACAAACTTAATTCACGCTAATTCGATGGTTCCTCGTATGTTGTTGTCTTGTTTCTCAAACACATAAATGCTCTTCAGTATTTTCCGGCAAGGTCTGAAGAGTTTGGCAGCTCTCTGTGGTTTTGCGGCCTGCACACTACACACCTAGACAGGAAATCTCTCTATGAGAGAGAAGTGTGCAACCAGCCCAACTCACATTTTTTTGCACGTTAGATATGGTACGTGGTTCCTGTTTGCTTTATGACTGATGAGGTCCGTTTAGTCTCTGCTGGAATAAGATTCAGTTTCAGAAATCATTTGGATACTCAATGGCATTTGCTAGACGGCGGTAGCCATTTGCTTTGAATTAGTTATGAGGACTAACTAAACTACAGCGAGAAGACATAATTCACAGCAAAACCGCATTGGTGGTCATTCCAGCTGATGCTGCAGTGCCTTGTGGATCAGGTATGTGATCTCTTTCTCTTGGCTTTCACTCATCTGGCCAAATGATCTCCACAGACTGCCGTGATCTATATAACAGGCCTGATTCTCTGTTAGGTGAGCCTTGTTAGACTCTTTATTGGAGTATGAATGACTAAATAAGAGTTGAACGGTGTGCATGAGATTTATGATGAAAATACCACAATTACTGGAACTCATAATAAGTACGTATCACTGACTAATAATTTATCGCAATTACGTACACAAAGATCAAATTAAGGTGTTTTTTACATTATTATTTACATAAGAAGATCAATGTCATTATGAAAATATAGGAAATTAGCTCTAATGGATTATTTCAGATTTCTAAAACAGCTGCACAATTCATCAAGTCATTCCATTAAGAATCATATAATTATGAAGAACAGTATGTGTGTGTTGGCTCACACACATGTTCATCAGTCTTTTCTAGAGATGTTTAGGTTTTGTTGGACATTTTGACCAATTTATCCACTCTAATTCGTGTGCTTAGCGGCTTTTTAAACTTAATGTTGGGGATAACAAAATCCATTGGGATGAGGTTTTGGGTGAAGAACTCCCCTGCTGATGGTTCTTCCATGCCACATGAAAGCTTCTGACTTCATGCCCAAGTAGTGATGGAGAATGCTGTCTGTTTGCTTTTGTTCCAGAGGATGCACTGGGTTTACGTTGTCACACTTCATGCATCTGTCTGGCTGAATTTATGCTGCACTTTGAACTTTTTCCTGAATGCTTTTGCACCCAGTACAGCTGATCTTGAGATAGGCATCTAACGAAACGCAAAAGATGGCCGTATCGGTGATGTATGTCTGGCCATGGAGGATTTTACAATCACAATCCCCCCCCCCCCTCATTTTCACATTTTTTTCATGTGCGACTGCCGCCATAGTGGTGCTGATCTTGGATTGGGGCCAGCAGAAGATAAACACATGCCTTCATGTACTTTATGAGTGTGTTTAAATCAAATTCAGGCAATCAGTATTATCGAAGTGCTTTCCAACCCGTGTATGAATGCAAGAAATTTGAGAAAAGGCTGCAAGCTTTTTCTGCTAACGTTCAGTTGGAATACTTGATGAATGATAGGCAGACTCGGTGAGGAAGGGAGTGTAGAGTAACAGTTGTCTGCGTCACCCTGGCTGCTAGGCCAGAGGAAATGGAGGATTGTTCGTCTCCACTGGCTTGTGCTCTGTAACTGGGCCACCATTGTGACAAGCCCAGCCCAGCATTTAGCATTTAAACAATGGGAATCCTCACAGTGCTCTGTACTGGCCTGTGTTCACTTGCCTTGACGACCAGACTGTTGTGTTCAGTTTTGATATGGCTCTTCAGGCAAAACTTTACTGTTTTGTTTTAGATATTCTGGTCATCTGAGGGCACAGCTGACTGAATAACTTCTGTGTTTGCAGGTTTAATCGTCCAACAAATTGCTGTCAGGAAGTTGTGATTTTTGTTTCCTGTCTATATAGGACGTGCACTGCACCGTTAGATTCACAGCTCCTGTGGGTTTGCTGCAAGTCAGTGTGATTTAGATTTGCACAGTCACACCTTTGAGGCAGGCAGAAAAATATTTGCAAGAAACACTTTGTAAGCACTTGTAGGTTGTCTTTGTACTTTACTGTTGGTTTGTACCTTACCTTATATAAAAAAAATATGTAAAAAATATATAAATAATAAGCAATATATTTATATAATAATATATATTATATTAATATATATTTATTATTTTTCAAATATATTTGTATTAATTATATATATATATTGTTAAATGTGTGTCTATTATATATATATATATATATATATATATTTATTTATTTATATATTGTTTACTAAAAACCTTTTTTTTTTACTTGAAACAAAATAAAATGTTAACTGATACAAAATAAACTTAAACTTTTATCAGTTTCGTTTACTTAAACTTGAAATACTAAAAATAACTAAAACTAAATAAGCTAAAACATTTCAAATAATATAAAAATAATATATATATATATATATATAAATAAAAAAAATTGTTTTTAAATCATAAAATCATCACAACACAGAAAACCAGAAAATGCCAAACCAAAGACAAGTAAAGATTATCCAAAAAAAAAAGAAAAAAGTGAGGTATTTAATGAGAAATGATCATGTTTTATTGAAAATAAGAAATTGATAGTAAGTATTAAATTCTTTGATTTTTGTATGCAGACTTTGTTATGCTGAGCACAGTTTTGAGACTGTTGTGATGTCTTCAGGAATCAACCCTCTACGGACACCTTGGCAATTGAATCGCCATTGGCTAGTCAATTTTTTTGGTTTACTCGCCAGACTGAAATACTATACTAAATATATATATATATATATATTATACATATATAATGTTTGTAAAATGGTACAGCTTTTTAAATATCTGAAAGTACACTCTTAATATCAGTCAGTCCAGCATTATAATATGATAATCAAAGTATTATTTAATAATAGAAGTTTAGTAATTAAAATTAAAACTTGGTAACCATGAACTTAGGACTGGTACTGGTGCTTTTTTTTGGTCATTCAGTGTTCCAGTAAAAAAAAAAAAAGAGCGAACAATAATACTGATAAGATATTATTATTATTATTATACGAATTCTACTAATAAGAACAATATAAAAACGCACTAAGGATTAATGAACTAATTGATTCATGAATATTAATCAGGTTGTGTGCGTTTGCTCGAACTGATTCGCTGAAATCAAAACAGGGACGATAGTAGGTGAGCACCAGCCAATGAGATTGTCGTTTGCGCATTAGTTCCTCCTACTACAGGAAAACTCGGCAGTTCTTAAAAGCTGAAGAATTCCAATGGAACTCTGTTATTCTTACAGGAAAATACAACAAAATATATAATTTACATGAAGCGCATCAATTCTGCATGTTATGCAAGACTCTCGCTCTTTGCGCGTGTGAGAGAAAGCGACGGCGAGTTGTGCACCTTAACACTAGAGTTTACATTACGCCAAATACACAAACACAGGTGCGCTGCGCATCCATTCAGATTAACTGAAAAATATCACAGATCGCTTGACGGAGAGTGAAACTGAAGCACTCAGTCAGAGTGTTCTGTGAGTGAAAATATATCTGTGCTAATCATATATTCAGCCTCCAACTCACATACTGGTGAGTAAAATCTGAGAATTTATTAGGCATTGGCTAATATTAGACATCAATTAGTCGCCCAGAGTGAAGATTTAGTCGAATATGCAAGTGATTTACTCGCAATGTAGAGGGTTGTCTGAAATGCATGCTTACTGGGGTCTTCAGAAAGCAGAAGATTTAAGCCAAAGTCACCATTTGCTCTTGTCTTAGAGAAACAATTGAGATATGAAAGAGATCTCATTTGTGATTTTGCTTTTCATAATAGCATAAAGTTGTCTTACCGTCTTAACATTTTTTTTTTCATTTTGTAACCAAAAATGCTGTATTATGCAGTCATTAGTATCTTCACACTAAATTGTTTCTGTTTCTCTCTGCTGCAGCTGCCAAGCGCCCCTCCTCTGTGTCCTCGCTGAGTGGGATTGTGAGCCGCATGGCCTCCTCAGGGGGTGCGTCCCGTGGTAGCTGCACCTCTGTTAACACGGTGTGCTCTGACAGTGACCGCGGAGCCAGTCTCAGCTCCTCTGCCTCGTCTGCCTCGCTGCAGGATGGGCACTCTTCCTCTTCTTCCTCATCGCTCCCCTATGGAGCCGTGCCGGCCTACCCTGGGCCACAACGTAATGGCTCCGATATCAGCCTGGACCTCACCCCTCTCTCCCTGCTGACAGGAGCCGGTCCCCTCCCCGCCTCCACAACACCACAGCCCAAACTTACTCGTCTGGAGAGGGTGGCACTGGAGATAGTGGAGACCGAGCAGGCCTACGTGAGGGACCTTAAGAGCATTGTGGAGGTAAGGACCAGACACATGCTGATCTCTGTCCCTATCAGTGTTGGGGGTAACTCATTACAAGTAATGCGAGTTACGTAATCAGATTACTTTTTTCAAGTAACTAGTAAAGTAACGCATTACTTCTTTAATTTACAAGAAAATATCGGAGTTACTTTTTCAAAAAAGTAATGCCAGTTACTTTGTTTTCCCATTTATTGACTGACAGCTCTCCTGTCCCCATATTGGGAGAAATCGGAAGTGCAGAGGCGTTGTGTGCGCTGTGTGAACATGATGCTACTGTAGTTCTAGACTAAATGTGAATGTGCATTAATTCATCCCACTCACAAAAAACAGATTTAGTATTAATCAAAACAGTGAAATGCAAACTCAGAATATGATAACACAAATGTATATAATCCCATTTTATTAACCAATGTCTTTGCTGCTGACCTTTGATAATCCAGTTCAACCATACTAATAAGCAAACATGACTTTAGAGATGAACAATTGTGCTTTGTTTTTTTATTGCTGAAGAGTGTTTCTTCTCCTGTGTTCTACTGTACAGACTTGAATTTACTTTTGCTTCAGCCTGAGGTTTATTCATTACACTTTTTGGTGTTAAGGGCTTTTATATTTGCTATAAATAGAACATCTTATATTAAAAACAATCAAGCCCTGCTTATATTTAAAAAGTAACGCGAAAGTAACGCAAAAGTAATATAACGCATTACTTTCCATAAAAAGTAACTAAGTAACGTAATTAGTTACTTTTTTAGGGAGTAACGCAATATTGTAATGCATTACTTTTAAAAGAAACTTTCCCCAACACTGGTCCCTATGATGTTTCGTACTATAACACAGAAACAATGTTGAGCTAATGTTGTAACCTTGAAGGGCTACTTTACCAAAAAAAAGATCATCATTTACTCATCCTAATATTCTAAAACATATATGCATTTCTTTCTTCTGTGAAACACAAAAGAAGATACATTTGAAAAATGTTTTTGTCCATGCAATGAAATTCTAATGGTTATTGGAGGCCTGACTTTTATTACAAAAAGCCACCTTGAGGCAAGGTGGGCTCTTTTAACTTTACCATCCACATAACCCTAGAAACCCCATGGCAACCGAGTACAAAACACACAGTACACCTAGCAACAGCCTAGAACCCC